GAGGGAGAGAGAAAAAGGAAATTTTATTAATTGGAAAAAAAGAAGAAAATCTGATTCAAAAAAAAAGAAGAAAAGATGGGGAGGCCTGGTGGCTAGAACCTCTAGGCCCAGTGGCAGAGAAGAGCTCTGGCCTGCTCTGATAATAGGGATAATGGGAAGAGGAAGCTCTTGTTTTCTGGCCTCTGCATCCCCTGCCTAATCTATGTTTGTTGAATTAACTACATCTCTGTCCATGGAACAATTTCAAATGGCCCAAAACACCAATGCCCTAGTAAAATGCAAGCTCATGTCCTACCCAGGGTAGTGCCAGTGTCTCCTAAGGCTGATATTCACTAAATATAAAAATGATTCATTTGAGAACAATGAAATAGTCACATCAGGTCTGGGAACAACTGTCTGTGGAAATGCCTTCCTACGGCCAGCCCAAAGCCACAGTGGCCAGGGAGAAGTCATCACTGACCAGCTTCAGGGCCTCATGTGGACCCCTTTCCTCAGTGCCCCTCTTGTTCTTCATCTGTAAACAGACCCCAGGGACCCTGGCACCATGTGTGGAAGGTGCTTGGCCAACTCCAAAGGTTCAGGTCTAAGAGAGTTGGCCTAATTCTTCTTCAGAGAGACAAGATCTAACAGGAGGAGACTGGGGAGTTAAGAAAACATGGCAGGCATAGAAGATGCCCCATCAGGAGCAGGAAGCTGCATACCATCACCAAGGCCGAGGGGAACCACAAAGGGGTGGGAGAGTGGAGCTCAAACTGGGGTAAAGAAGGAGATGCTGTGAGAGGTAGGGTGGGGCCACAAAGGCAGCCCTCCCAGAAGTCCCAGACTAAATGCCTTCCTCTCCAGCACTGGGGGGCCATCTAGCTTCCTCAGTGGCAGCCATTCCTCTGAGAAGGGGGCAGAGGAGCTGGGCCCCATGGATCCAAGTGAGGATCTACACGCCAAGCTCAGCCCATAGGAGTCCCAAAAATTCAGTGTACTCATTCAGCAAGGCATCACAAAGGATGTGTCAAGTCAAAAAGAGGAAAACAAAATACACTCACAGGTCCCCCAGTTTTCTCACACATTTTTCCCTTCAGGTGCATTCCTAATACAAGAGAAGCATAGGCTGATACACTGATGTAGAAATGAGAGGCGGACCCCTGGTGAGCCACTTTCCTCTCTGCGCCCATGACCTCATAAAGAAAGGTCAATAATAAAAACAGGGCCACCAACAGCACGGGGTCATCCACACCGAAGGAGATACAGATGGGAGAAATGAGGATTCTACGTAAGAAATAAAAACCCATCACCCAAATTCCCAACTGGTTCACGAAATCCTTCTCCGTAATCCAAATTCCAAGCCCCACCCAAGAACAATGACCTGCAGGATTTCAGTCAAAGGGCTGGCATCACAATAACTCTAGGAAAGAAGCATTCTCTCTCTCTCTCTCATTATTTAATTTTCCTCATAAAAAGGTTTTCACTCAAATAATTCACTCATCACCCTTGGCCAGCTTGCATGAATCACACATCTTTCCGAGATGCCAATCGGTGCTGATGACATTATTTCTGCAGTAATTCTGTGACCTAGAGAAGATATGCAGCCCCAAGAGGAATTAGTTAGAATGAATGATGGATTATTCAAGAGACAGGAGAAAAACTGGGAGAAGAGGAAGCAGAGACCTTGCAAACAGGCCAGCATCTGACCCTAAGAATGGAAGTGCTCAGAAAGAACGTCACCGAAGCTGCTGGAAGAACAAGACCTGGGGTGGATGCTCGTGAGTGACAGATGGGCTCAATATCACCAAGCCCTGCTGGCTAGAGGGGCCATCGAAGCTCAGCCAGTCTCACAGTCCCAGAAAGCTGAGCACTCCTGCTGTTCCACTGCTGTGAGGAGAAAATGGCACCCAGGTTCCTGCTTCCCCAGCCTCTCTGGACTTTCCTGGTTGCTGGCTCCACCTGTCATCACAGACATGCGTCTCCTCAGACACTCCTTCGGGAGGAGGAAGGGGCCCAGGCCCTAGGCCTGCATCCAGCCAACAGGAGGCACAGGGCCCCAGCACCCTCGGCACAACAGCTCTGCTCTGCCCAGCGCCGCAGGAAGAACGTTCTGTCACTCAAATGGACTGCTTACAAAGGCATCACATGACAGAAGCAGCATATTCATAGATGGAGCCACAAGCCACTGCACGTCACAATAATGATAAGGAACAGCAAAGACCTTCCCTCCTTGTATATGTCCTGAGCTCACTGAGCGCCACCACCACGCACCGTGGGCTGTGCCACGGATGTTCTGATAAACAGAGACAGGCATCCAGCCTCCTGCACCAGACCCCAGCACCCACCCTCTCCCCAAGCACGCCCTACCCCACTTTCACCTCCTTCTCAATTGTCTGTTTGCTTCGTGTTTTCATTCTCTTTTTATTCTGAGTTCCAAAATCTCTCCTTCCCTCTAGCCCCTCCCCACCCACTGAGAAGGCAAGCAGCATGACACCCATTACTAGTCACCTTGCAAGAAAATAAAGTAAAAAGTCTGCTTCAATCTCCCCTCAGAGTTCATCAGTTCTCTCTCTGGAGGTGGAGAGCACTTTTCATCATGGGTCCCTTGCATTGTCTTGATTAGAGTAGCTAAATCTTAGCTGAACACTGTCACAATGTTGCTGTTGCTGGGTACAGTGTTCTCCTGGTTCTGCTCGCTTCACTCTGCATCCATCCATGTAAGTCTTTCCAGGTTTTTCTGAAGTCCGCCTGCTCATCATTTCTTATAGCATGTAGTATTCCATTACATTCTTATACCAATAATGTGCTCAGCCATTCCCTGACTGATGGGTATCCCCTCCACTTCCAATTCTTTGCCACCACTAAAAGAGCTGCTACAAATATTTTTATGCATAGAAGTCCTTTTCCCTTTTCTTTGATCTCTTTGGAATACAGATCTAGGAGTAGGATTGCTGGGTCAAAGGGAACACACAGTTTTACAGCCTTCTGGGCGCAGGTCCAAACTGTTCTCCAAAACTGCTGGACCAGTTCACAACTCCACCAACAAGACATTAGCGTCCCTATTTTTCCACACCCACTCCAGCATGTCAATTTTCTTTTCTGTCATGTTAGCCAATCTAATAGATAGCAGGTGGTACCCCAGAGTTTTTTCAATTTATATTTCCCTAATTCATAGTGATTTAGTGTATTTTTCATATGACTATTGATAGCTTTGATGTCTTCTTCTGAAAACTCCTTGTTCATGTCCTTTGACCATTTATCAATTGAGGAATGGCTCTTACTTTTAGAAATTTGGCTCAGTTCCCCATATATTTGAGAAACAGGAGAGAACCTTGCTATAAAATTATCAGAGAACCTTGCTATAAACATTGTTTGCCAGTTTCCTGCTTTTCATCTAATTTTAGTTGTATCAGTCTTGTTTGTGTAAAAACTTTCTAATTTGACATAATCTAAATTATCCATTTTACTTCCTCTGATCCCCTCTATTTCTTGTTTGGTCACAAATGCTTTCCTTACCTACAGATCTGACAGGTAATTTATTCTATGAGCTTATGACATAACCCTTTATGTTTAAATAACATCCTCATACTGACCTTCCCTTGGTGCATGTTACAAGATGTTGGTCTAGCCCTCCTTTCTGTCAAACTGCTTCCCAGTGTTCCCAACGGTTACTGTCGAATTAGCAGGTCCTGGCCCCACCCACTTCAGCCTCTGCTCCAAGGACAACGGTCAAATCCACAGAACTTCCACTTCTGGAGAGAGTGGGCCGTGGCTTCTCTCCATCCAGTTCTGCTGCGACCCCCCAGACCAGAATTTCCTTCCCTGGTCACCACTCACAGTATGTGTGGTCTCCTCCGTGAGAATGCCAGCTCCAGGAGAGCAGGGACCGTCTTACTTTGTTCTCTGTTTCCCTAGAACCTCCAGCACAGTGCTTGGCACAAAGGAGGGACAGCATAAAGTACCTTTCCATTCACTCAAAGATTAACAGAGTTGAGACGTGACAGCTGCTGGTAGTTTATTCTAATTCACCCCACAAACACTGTCAGACTAATCTTTGCAATTGCTGTGTTCTTGGGGTGTCACTGTGCTCCTAAAACACTTCAACAGCCATCAGGAACAGGAAAATGTCCTAATTCCTCAAACTGTGCTGAAAGAACATCCACAATGGGGCTGCCAGCCTCATCTCACACAACTGTCCCGAGTCTCTGCCCCTCCTGAAGTGGACTACTCAGAATAGCTCAATCCCACCTCCCAGTCTCTTGCCTCAATACCTTCCCCAAGGCCGCCATCTCCATGGACAGTCACACTACCCATTGATCATGGTCCACTAACATGCCACGCCTGCCACAGAACTTCAGTCAAGCTCCCCTGCTCAAACTCATTCCAAACCTGGAGATCTCCAAGCACTTTCTCCTCCTCTTCCACTTTTATCTCATCCTAATCGGCTTTTATCCAGGTAGGCGGGTGTCGAACAGCCCTCACTAAGCCATAAGCCCCTATACTTAGGCCCTTCCCTACACCTCCATGATGAACAACAACCATTATGAAATACAGTGTGATGTCCAAAGGATTACAGTTCAACAGAAGTTGTTTTTTAAAAAGTCTAATGCTGTGGAATCTGGCTGAATTCTGATAAGGAATCATCCACACTCCAATCGATGTCCCTCATTTATCAGAGACTTCTAGGGGGTGCCAGAATGCCCAGAGCACTGGGCCTGGGTCAGAAAGGCCCGAGTTCAAATCTGACCTCAGACAGACACTTCCTGCTAACCTCTATCTGCCTCCGCTTCCGCACCTGTAAAATGGGAATAATAACAGCATCTACCTCACAGGATTGTTGTGAGAATCAAGTGAGATGAGTGTGAAGCGCTTAGCCCGGTGCCTGCACACAGCAGATGCCACAGTAATGTGTGCCATTATGATTTATCGTTATCATCATCACTGTTGGTTCATTCCAGTAAAGGAAAAGCAGGGAGATTTCCTGCGGCCATCACCAACAAGTCTCGCCAAAGGGCTCTTACCTCGGTCACTTTGGGCTGGAGGATCAGCGTCTCTGGACTCATGCGAGGGATGTCGATGTGAATCTGGTGGTGTAAGACAACACAGTTAGTCCACAAAGCACTGTCCCGGAGCCTCCCAAAGGCAACGTCTGCCTGTAATTCCCATCGAGAGAAGTTCATGCAAACAGCTGCTGCTCCGTCACCTCAGCCCCCAACTCCCAACCAGGTCAACCATACGGGAAAGGAACACAGCAACTATTCAGCTCTAAATAAGGCTCACCCCCTACTCAGCCGGGTGTCTATTCATCCCTTTAAGGTATGGGGGAGAATGCATCCCCAAAGCAGGCTGTCCCACGGCAAGGGAAGACCACAGGAAATCACAACTTTCCCCAAAGGGCCCTCACCAGGAAAGGGCCCTCTTGCCCAAGCACCTTCATGACCGCACGCCTGCAGAAAGCCCTGGCTACCATCTGGTGGTAATAGCTGAGACTGGTGAGAAGAACCCAAAGCTCACTGGGTGCTAAGCTCCGGCTGCCCGCACGCAGATCAGCCCTTGTTCTACAGCTCCTAGATGGCAGAGAGGCCGAGTGACCTGCCCGGGGCTACATAGCCTCTCTGCACAGTGCCTCTTTGATCTGGCTAACTTTTTATGGGCTATGTGCAGGCACTAAGTCTAGGGCCCCCAAGGACAATCCTACGATTCACTGTCTTTGTATCTTTCTCTAATCACACTGTTGTATGGCCTCTACTGCACTTACACATGGGGCCAGGTGATATTCTGCAAAGAATCCTAGAGACACTAACTAGCTGTGTAAGCCTTACTCTCCTCATCTGTAAACTGGGGCCAGTATTATGGATAACTGTCTTGTAGAGGCTGTATAACGCAACTGCTTTATAAAACCTAGAGTACAACAGAAACCCAAGGCCTTGGTATTCCTGCCACATGCTGTTTTTTATCAGGGCAGGCAGGTGGCACAGTGAACAGCGTGCCAGGCTGGGAGTCTTTCCTGAGTTCAAATCTAGCCTCAGACACTTACTAGCCATGCGACCCCAGGCAAGTCACTTCACCCTGTTTGCCTCAATTTCCTCATGTGTAAAATAGGCTGGAGAAGGAAGAGGCAAACCACTTCAGTATCTTTGCCAAGAAAACAGCAAACAGGGTCACAGAGGGTTGGACACAACTAAACAACATTTTTTTTGTTTGTTTAGACAACTGAAGTTAAGTGACTTGCCCAGGGTCACACAGCTAGTAAGTGTCAAGTGTTTGGTCTGAGGCCAGATTTGAACTCAGGTCTTCCTGACTTCAGGGCCAGTGCTCTGTCCACTGCACCATCTAGCTGCCCTCATTTTTTTTTATCAGTGTCACTGACTACCCAAGTGTCACAGGGCCCAGTGAAATTAAAAATATCCTAAGGGCAATGGTGGTGTTTTCTCTGAACTCAGTATCTCAGTTGGCTGCTATGAAATACTGCTGCAAGGAGACTTAGAGGTAAACCAGCTGAACCAGCTCATTTTGGAGAAGAGGAAGTGGAATACCAGAAAGGTAAAGGCACTTCCACAGGGTCACACAGCTGACAAGTAGTGAAGCAGGGAAGGAAAGCCAGCTCCCCTGAGTGCCAATCCAGAGAACTTTCCAGTACCCCCCCAAGCCTCGGAAGCACAGTGTGATGCACATGGTAGGCATTTATCAATGTAGACTAAACTGAACTGGGAGTTTTTCTCTTCTACAAGACAACAAATTCCCAGAAGGCCCGGCCACATCTTTTATACCTCCATGCCGGCACAGCCCCTAACACAGCCTACCTAGGCCTGGCAAGCACTGGCAAGGAGGGGTCACTGTCAAGTTTGCTTCCTGTTGACTGGGCAGCATTCAGACACTGTTCTCTAGCTGACACAGCGAAAAAGCAATAGTTGTTTCCCAATTAGGAGAGCAGGCCTTGGGCTTTTTAGTAACATAATCTATAGCAATTAGTAAACATTGATTTCCAGCCTCCAACATGAGCTAGAGTAATTCTTGTGTAACAATGGCACACAAGTTTTTTGTGGTGACAGTTTTTCACACCATAGGAGGAAGCATTTTTCTCCCCTTTTCAACATCCTTACAAAATCCAGTAAATTCTTCAAAAAGAGTGTTCATAAATCTCTGTGAACAAGCAGCAGAACACTGACTCAGAAGATGAGAAGAAACCAAGGATAGGACAGAAGCACAGACTGAGAATCACAGTGAGATTCTCCCAGTTAGAAAGCAAGCATACACCAAGGTCTTTATCTTCCAAAAACTAAGACCTAGAGAGAGGGAGTCATACCTCTAGGAAAGGGCAAAACATAAATGTGAACTCAAATCTTCTTAGAACTCTGATATCAGGCATCATCCCATGACACAAAGCAGAGTCTGAGAAACTCAGTCCTTGGTCTGTTCTTAAGCCCAGATTTACCTCTACTGCATACTGACTATTTGACTTTCAATAAGTCATTGAATCGCTCTGGGTCTGACTTTCCTCATCCATAAAATTATGAGGATAATAATGCCCACCGACTTTATAAGCTAGTTAGTAAGGATCATATAAGGTTTGACGCAGTGAATGAAAGAATGAATGAATGAAAACACATTCTCCAGTGCTCCCCATGTGCCCAGCCCGGTGCTAAATGCTGGTGGCAGGAAGAGAAAAAGTGAGCTAGGCCTTGTGTTCAAGGAGTCCAGACTGACTGGAAGAGACAAGCTTTGAAGAATCTCAGCTATCAGAGTGATGGAAAGGCCCAAGGCCCTAAGACTTGAGCAGCAGAAGGATGCCAAGGCCCATGGGTCTTCAGGGTATAGTAAGCCAGATGAAAAGTGGGGAAAGAGAAGAGATGAGAGGAAGAGGGGAGCATGAGGGATGGGATGTACAGGCACCTGGGCAGAGGACACAAGAAGGCAGCACCAGGGGAGAAGGAAGGCCAGCTGCTCCATCTCACTGGAGGGAATAAAGTTGGTGATTTCCTTCACATTTAAGCCTTGGGAGCACGCATGCAGACTGGATAGGTTCCAAAGAGCCTGGGCCAGGGGTGAGTTGAAAAGACACACTAAACAACCACAGGCCATGATGGGCAAGTTGGTGTGGCGCAGAATCATCCAATCAAGAAGCAGTCAGTAAGTGCCAGGCACTGTCCTAGGCACCTGGGATACTGAAACAAAAAATGAAACAATCCCTGCTTACAAAGAGTTTACATTCTAACAGGGGAGACAAAAAGTACATCTCTAAGTCCACAGAGAGAGCATACATATAAAGGGAAGAAATCCAAATGAATGCACACAACCGTCTGGGAGGGAGAATGCAAGCGGCTGAGGGGACCAGAGTCAGGAGCCTGAGATTCCTCTTGAGGAAGGGAGGGGAAAGAGAGGGCCTTGGAGGATGGGAGGTGGCATGTCTGAGGAACAGTGACAGCCAGGCTGGCTGCCCAGGAGAGAGAACAATGGCCAGGGAGATAGCAAGGGCAGCCCGAGGCCAAGGTGGGAAGAGTCACAGCTGAGTCAGAGAGAATTCCTGTACTTCCACAAACCGAAGCGAACTAACACCATGCCTGCAAAGTTGGCAAGTCGGGCCATCCTGCTCAGGAGGGAGATTTCAAAGCCAGGAATAACATCCCCTCAGAGACAGAGAGTCACCTGGCAGGGAAGTGAGGGATCCCCTACACTGACTTCCTCCCACTCCAAACACAGGCATGCACACAGTAGGCAGACACTTCACTAAGTACATTTAGGATGACAGGGGGTGGGAGTGAATCCATCTTAGGGCACAGTAAAACACAACTTCAGAAGCCAAAAAATAGGGCAGATGCTACAGACGCATTGTTCAAGGGAAGCAGCCCTGAAGGGCTCCAAAATAGAACTCTAAAAAGACAAGGAGAACGAGCTGCTCACAAACTACCTTCGATTCTAAAAGAATGGACGGAAGACAAGGAAGCAGCAGCGGTGGATGAAGACAACAGTTCTGGCAGACTAATGAATCACTCAATCAACACTGATTAAGCACCTACCACGTGCCAGGCACCAGGCTAAGTGCTGGGGATAAAGAGAGGCAAAAGACGACCAGAAAACAAATATGTACAAACGAGAAGTCAGAAATCATCAAAAGATGCAAGGCACCAGAATTAGGGGGAATTGGAAAAGGCTTCCTGTAGAAGGCAGGAGTTCAGGCAAGACTGAAGGAAAGCCGAGTAGAGATGCAGAGGGAGAGTGTTGTAGGCACGGGAACAGACAGCCAGAGAAAACATCTGGAGCTAAGACATGGAGACTCCTATCTGTGGAACAGCCAGGAGGCCAGGGTCACTAGACTGAAGAGGTAGGGACTGAGGAACAGGCAGAATGAAAAGGCAGAAGGGCTGAGGTTAAAAGCCAAATAGGTCCCGAGTAGCGTTTTCGACATGTTGAGTTTAAGATGTCTGCTGGATGCCTGGTCTGAGGTGTCTGATGAGAGGCTGGAGGTCAGAAGAGAGGTTCGCATAGGACAGGAAGATCTGAGGATCACCAACACAGAGATGGGAGCTGATGGGATCTCCAAGTTAAGCTGTATGGAGAAAGAGGAGAAGAGGGCCCAGAACAGAGCCCTGGGGGACATCCACGGTTGGAGGGCGTGATCTGGAGACAGAGAAGGGGGAGAACCAGGACAGAGGCATCCTGAAAACCTAGACAGAAGAGGGCACTGAGGAGGAGAGAGTGACCCAGTGTCCCAAGGCTGCAGAGAGGCCATGGAGAAGGAGGATGGAGAGAAGGTCGCTGCACTGGACTGTTAAGAGGTCATTGGTCAGTTTGGAGCGAGCAGTTTTGTGGAATGATAAGGGGTTAGGAAGAGAGTGACAGGAGAGAAAATGGAGGCACTAATTGTAGAAGTCTTTTCTAGGAGTTTAGCGACAAAGGGCAGAGGAAAAACATAACAATAGTTAGCAAGGATGAAAGGGTCAAGCAAGAGTTTTTTGGAGGATGGGGCATGTTTGTAGGGAGTAGGGAAAGAGCCAATAGAAAGAGATAAGTGAAAGAGTGGGGGTGACAGAGGCGGTATCTGTTGGAGGAGATGAGATGGAAGGGGATGCTCAAGCAGGTAGCA